GCGAGGCCAGCGTGGCCCTGAGAGAGCCACAAGGCGTGAGGGCCATTCCCCACGGTGCAGAACGAAGGATGGGACTCCCGAGTGTGAGGACGGCCTGCCTACCTGGGGCTCTGCCACTTCCGTGATGTTTCAGTCTGAAGCTGCGACATCCGTGAGTGACCACTGTGGCCCGGGTCTGACGACGGCCCGTGGTGATGCTCATCAACACCAGGGAGCAGCCCGCTCTGCACTGCTGCTCCGCCCGGAGCCATCCTCAGGCGAACCAAGGCTAGGCTCCAGGCAGGGGCGGCCCCGTCCGGCGCCCTCCCGGCTCCCCCCAGCTGCCTGCACCCCCATCCCTCCCGGAGCAGGTGCCTCCCCAGCTGGGATGTGCCGTCTGCTCCAGCCACAGCTAAACGGGTGGTGGGGGGGACACCCTGCTAGGCCTGGGGCTGGTCTGCGGGAGACGGGGCCGCCGGGGCCTCACAGTCCTCAACAGGAGCCCTCGTCGCCAACTCGTGTCTCTGGAGGAAGTTGGTTTTGAAGGGAAGCGGTCTGGAGGCGCTGGTGTAGAGGGTTCGGATCAGGCACAGGGCCTGCGTCCTCACACTGGCCTCTGGCTTGCTCACTCCTGGGCCGCTCTCCCCACACAGACAGGCCACCCCTGGGAGTCACCCATGTGCGTCTGCTGAGGGGCTCACCCTGAGGCTCCAGCGAGCTGTCACCTCACCTCCTGAAACCTGGTTTCTCCTTCCAGATGGTTGAAAGAGGAGAGCTCAGGGTCTTCACCACTGGACACAGCAGCCAAGGGACGGCTCCTGAACCACTCCTGGGTGAACTCGGGGCTCCTCCGCTCCGGGGTCCGCCCTACCATGCTGTGTGGCTGGTGTGTACAGAGTGTCAGCAACAAAAATAACTCTCGGGGCCAGCAGCTGGTGTGGTTGTTAAGGTGTTGGACTCCCACGTGGCTGACCGCGGTTCAAGTCCCAGACCTGGTGGGTTTCTGTCTTTCTATGGCCACATTAAAGAATGATAAAGAAAGAAATACGTAAATACATGAGTAATCTTGTTAAAAGAAGAACCCAGTACAACACTGGAGGCTTGTCCCGAGCCGGTCTGAGTGACGGTGGCCGAGGCACACGCCCAGTCAGGGCTAAGTAGGCCCAGGGCTGCTGCTGCGTGCCCTTCACACGTGTCAGGGGAGTAGAGGCATGGTCAGCGCGGAGCATGGACGCTGGTGTGGCCTGAGAGGGACGTCTCAGAGCAGGGGTGACTTACAGGCGAGTGGAGGTCCAGAGGTTCCTCAGCCTGGGACGGTGCAAAGACCAGGCTTGGCCATACCTCACTGTGGGCACCAGGCTTCGCTTGCCCACCCGAGGCCCGGCAGCCGCAGGGAGGAGGGAGCCAGTGACCGGGGCAGGGTGACCGGCGTGATAAGGCCGGTGACATCCATGTACGGTCCTCCCAGGTCCTTGGGCAGAAGTTCTTAAAATAAAAAGCTGACCAGAGCTCAGCTCCCAGATGCTGGGCACCCAGGCAGCAAGGAGGGTGGCCACTGGCCGGTGGGGGCATAGTGCAGTCTGTGTTCCCCAAATGACCCAGAGCGAAACCTCAGAGCTGGGCCGGGAGCCTCCGTGGAGGCCAGCATGTGGGAGGCGGGATTGTCCCGGCCCCTGCGCCGTCCTAGGCCCGAGGCGTCGGTGGGGGCGGGAGGATACGTTACAGTGGGCACCTGGCAACGACATTTAAGCGCTAGGGTGTCGCCCGGGTGCCACGTACCTGCTCAGGCCCCCGACAATACTTCCATGATAATGGGATGGCGCAGAGAAAGGAGTGTTTTTAACGAAGCGTGGGCTCTTGGCCCCGTTACCATCTGGTCCGGGGACTGCGCCGGAAGCCCTTCACCCAGGTCAGGGCCGGGAAGCGACTGGGAGCCCTCCCGGACCTTCCTACATGCGCCCCGCGCTGGCTGTGCAGACTGTCTGCCGTGGAAACACCTGGAAACCAGCTTCCTCACTGGCTCAGTGTGGGGACCCGAGTCTGACACCGCGTCACCGTCACTGTCACCGTGCAGCTCAGAGAAGGGTGGCGGCCGTGCCGGCGTGTCCTCGGGGCTGCCCACAACCTGGGGGCTGCAGGAAAAGGCCGGCCTTGACCTCAAGCAAGAAGTCGGAGGCCAGGGGCCTCTACTAGAGCATGACATAAACGTCAGAGGGAGGGCTCATGAGGCGGTAACGGCGTTGGTTTTTACAAGATGGACCATGTGTCCCTCCCTCCGCCGGCGTCAAAGCAGGGGAGGGAGCCCGCTACCCTCAGAATAGGGTGTTTTCCTTTTTTAGGTTTTAGGATGCGTGTCTCACCAGAGACAGCGAGGAAGGGAGAAACTGCCGTGGTGGGGGAGGCGACACTGCAGTCTCTTCTCCCTTCTCTCAGTATTTTGTACGCACACGCACCCAGCATGATTTTCAAGCCACTGGGTCCAGGACTCGCACCGCGGATGGCCCTGTGGAAGCCCAGTGCCTTACCCACCACGCCACCTGCTGGCCCCGAGGACATTTTCTTAACATCAGCCCAAGGATGGCTGTGGAAACGAGGAGGGCCAGGACCAGCCCTGAGCCCCTGGGCGCGGTGTGTCAGTCCTCAAAGCCAGTCCCGGGTGGCACCTTCCTGCCAGACCCGGATGAGAGACCCGGTTCCCAGGGGCACCTGGCAGCACTCACGGAGCGCGGGGCTCCCCGCTGCAGACGTGCCTCAAACCCACACCTACTCAAAGGCATGCGCATAGACCCGAGGAAGCTTGTCCAACTAGGTCCGACTGCTGGCTCGCCACCCAGGTCAGTGAATCGGGCTGTCTGGGGTATCTGCTAAGAACTCCCACCTCAAACACCTGCTCCGAACCTGGGGGTGGGCGAGCTAGGGAGGTCACGCCCCTCTCCATAGGAAGCAAGGGCCTTCCGAGGCCTTCAGGCACCCAGAACACCATCAAAAAGGAACAGCAGGAGAGCACTGCCCGGGCGTCAGCTGGAGGCCACAGCACGTGGAAGGAGCTAGGACCAGACGGGGGTGGCTCACGTGGCTGGACATGGCCCAGAGGACTCTAAGGACGCGGTTCAGGGAGTTATTTGTCTTCCTGAGCTCAGTGCACCTAGGCAGACCCCAAGGAGCAGCTGTGACGCTGGTCGGGGGGCCCCCTGCAACAGCGCCCCCTGCGGGCCTCACAGGAGCGGCGCTGCAGCTCTGGGTGTGGACGCACACGGTCAGCGCCGGCCCACTACGCAGGCACACAGCGGAGACCCGAGGGCGCGGTAAAAGGCCTGGGGTAACTTGGCGGCCAGCGTTTTTCTCCTGCTGAGTTTCAATGGTTTCGGCAAATGCCACGCTTGAATATGCTGCGCTATTCACGAGACCCTGGTTTAACACTTCGTAGTACAACCGTCTGAAGTGACACAATTATTTTTATTTATTTTACTTTTTAAAATTTGCACGTGCACTCGAGAGAAAACAAGAAAGCAAGCTGCCGGGTCCGGGACTCAGACTGCGGTCGACCACCACGCCGCCTGCCGACTCAATTTGGTTCATTTCTAGATGTGACTGGGACAGATGAACGGCTCCTCAGGTTGATTCCTCACCAGGACACCTGGGTCAGATAGGGACCTGTACCTCTACACGGTGTGCAGCACTCAACCCCACGGACCCCCGTGCGAGGCAGCTGCAGGGACACCGAGAACACGGGCAGATTGAGTGTGGGATGAGAATACCTGTGCATCTGCACACGGGGAGTCTGCACCCACCCGTCCCCGGAGGGCTCGCAGGCCTGTGCCAGGTGCCCCTGAATGCCCAGGAAGCCTGCAGGCATGGCAGAGGGGCTGAGACACGTCCTGAGGCTCTCCATCCCCTCCTGAGGTCCACAGAGGGACAAGAGGCCCCGTCCCCCGGGGCAAGCATTCAGGCTTCCCACAGACCCTGGAGGCACTCCAGCCTGTGAACAGGAAGCGCAGGACAGTGGCGTGGTCTCCCGCGCTTGGGAGCAGGGACGGCCAATGGCCAACACAAGCCCGAAACCTCGCATGGACTCGTGTCTGCGTCACCGGGGCTCTTGCCCCCCCGGGGGATTCCCTTCGGCTCCACGGCAGGCATCCGCCTGATTCCTGGTCTGAGCCCCTGAAGAACCCACCCACTGCAGCTCAGGGCTGAGCTCTGTCCAGTCGTCCCGGACCCTGGCAAGTGAACGGTCCCGGCACAGACTGCCCGAGAAACACCGGAAGCGTCTGAAAGATAATTCCTTTTAATTTTCTACATTTTCACTTCTGCGACAGTAAAGGCAGAGTTATATGACCTCATATGACATTTTTACAAAAGCCAGTCCCCCCGACTTCTGGTCAGGGATATATAAATATTTACAATGAAAAAATAGGCAAGGAAACAGGAACTCTTCATATCTAAGTCCACTTCTTTCCAATGCGTCCTGGAATTCTGAAAATAAAATACTTCGCCTTTCCAGGCACTCCTATTTACACACGCTCCGGCGGACGGCTCCGAGGAGCGTGGCTGCAGCGGCGGGCGTTTCTGCCCCACGCCGCCCCTCTGCTACACGATGTGTCGGGAGCGCTGAGACAGGAAGGTTGGTATAAAAACGTAGACTCTGGAGGAGGGACAGTGGCAATCGTGTCAAGGTTCAAAGGTCTCGTAGAGGTCGATACTTTATAACACTAAAAAGGCAAAATAAAACGCTCTGTGTATTTTCTCAGTAGGGACTTCCTTTTCGACTTGGCGGTGTGAACAAGACTGGCTCTGAGGAGGACGTCAGAAAAGCAGCGATGACGTCGCCGTCTTAACTGAGGAACACCCAGCCAGCCTGCTCTCCTCTCAAAGAAACTGGTCGTTAAAAGTGGCAAATGCAAGCCGTAGCGTGGAGAACTTCAGCTGCTCCACCAAACCGCGGGGTCCACCAGGACTCCCGGGACACGGCCGAGGGTGCGAGCAGGCCATTGGCCTGGTGGCGTGCAGGAGCGTGGCAGGGGGGGGGCGGGCCCGGGCCCCACGGCCTGCCACGGCTGAGACGCGGAGCACTCGCGGGCAGGGGTGGTGGCCGAGGCGGCGAGGGGCCTTTGCGGCGCGAGCTGGGCGGCCTCACGTGTGGGAGCCGCGCCGCCCCCTGGGGCCCAGGGACACGCGCAGCCGCGGCTCGCGGGCTTTGTAGTGCTCGTTGAAGTCCAGCCGGAAGCTCAGGAAGCGGAGGCTCTCATCCGAGCTGGTGGTCAGCAGCACCAGGAACTGCTGCACGACTCCCTGGGGGCAGAGCAGCAGGTCAGAGCCCCGCGGCGGTCCTCCCCCACCCCACAGCCTCTCACCAACCCGGGCAGCGTGCTGGCCGGCAGGGTGGCTCGGACCTGGCCTCTACTCGACCACACAGCCGCACCTGCGCACGGTGAGCCAGGAAGAGCCGGCCTACGGTTCCCCGCAGCGCGTTAGCTCTCGGAGCCGAAGCAGTGCTGCCACCAGGTGAGCTAGGGAGGGCGCGTGCCCAGAGCCCCAGCAGGATGGTGAGCTAGAGCGCGTGCCCAGAGCCCCAGCAGGATGGTGAGCTAGAGCGCGGGCCCTCCCAGAGCCCCAGCAGGATGGTGAGCTAGGGAGGGCGCGTGCCCAGAGCCCCAGCAGGATGGTGAGTTAGAGCGCGTGCCCAGAGCCCCAGCAGGATGGTGAGCTAGAGCGCGGGCCCTCCCAGAGCCCCAGCAGGATGGTGAGCTAGGGAGGGCGCGTGCCCAGAGCCCCAGCAGGATGGTGAGTTAGAGCGCGTGCCCAGAGCCCCAGCAGGATGGTGAGCTAGAGCGCGGGCCCTCCCAGAGCCCCAGCAGGATGGTGAGCTAGGGAGGGCGCGTGCCCAGAGCCCCAGCAGGATGGTGAGTTAGAGCGCGTGCCCAGAGCCCCAGCAGGATGGTGAGCTAGAGCGCGGGCCCTCCCAGAGCCCCAGCAGGATGGTGAGCTAGGGAGGGCGCGTGCCCAGAGCCCCAGCAGGATGGTGAGTTAGAGCGCGAGCCCAGAGCCCCAGCAGGATGGTGAGCTAGAGCGTGTGCCCAGAGCCCCAGAAGGATGGTGAGCTAGAGCGTGTGCCCAGAGCCCCAGAAGGATGGTGAGCTAGAGCGCGAGCCCTCCCAGCCCCGACCGGCTCAGGCTCCAGGCCCACCACCTTGCTGACCTCCCAGGACAGTCGCTGTCACTGTCACCTCATCAAGGGGACAGGACTGCCATCTGACACAGGTTCACTCGAACTTCAATGTGGCAAAATGACCACCTCTCAAGAACACTCGGCGAGCACGGCAACACGCACGGTGTCGTGGTGCTGCACGCTGGGCCACCCGCCGGGCACGGCCAGGCGTCAGTTGCAGAAGCTACCAACACAGACGCAAAAGCAGGCCAACGTCACGGCCCCACTGCAGAACAACAGACCCTCCCTACGCTGAGGGGAGTGCGCGGCCCACTTGGAGACGCTGGGCCCACACAGGAGGGCCGGGGTTCACTCCTGAGGCCTCCCTATGCACACCAGGCACACGCGTGCCCACGAGCAGGCTGGCTGATATGAGGGTGGCCCACACTGGGGAGGCCCGGGGGGGGGGGGTGCCCGTCTCTCTCCCTCGTGGAAGAAACGAACAACCTTCACTCACCCAGCCCAGGAGCAAACATGGGAGTCGGAGCACTGGAAGGCCAGCTCGAGGCTGCGGCCAGGGCAAGGCCCTCATGTGGCAGCGCGACTCCAGCTGCACAGACATGGCTGCTAAGGCCTGAGGTCAGCTCCTGACGCGGGCCCTCACCAAGGTCCTCGCGCTGTCCTCCCGCCTCCATTCTCTCCAGAGTGACAGGACTGGCCGGGAGGCCAGCAGGGCCAGCGCACCCCACCCGGCAGCAGCGCACCTTTCGGCTGAGCTCCACCCACCTACGCTGCCAGCATGTCCTCTAAAGAGGCAAGTGACCAGACCAGTCACAGGGGCAGTTCATGGGAAAGCGCGGGCCCAAGTCCCCAGCACTGCCTGCCCACCTCGGGACACCAGGGACACCCGGGACACCCGGGGCTCTCGCTCCAGCCACAACTTCACCGCGCTGCTGGGAGCCAAGGCAGAGGCGGGTCAGAGCTCCTGGGGAGGGCACAAGCTCCTGGGAGAGTCTGGGGTGCAGGGCGTGGGCGTGGGCACGGCGGGACCATGCTGAGCCGCATGTCTCCATGTGGACGTGCCCGGCGGCTCACCCAACCGCCCCGTCACTGTGGAAGGCACGCGGCCAGAACACGATGGGCACGACCAGCCAGCCCACGAGCGCACACCTGGTAGAAGTGAGTGAGGATCCGCAGCTGTGAGCACATCTTTGGTATGGACTCCCGGAACTCCTGGACCCGCTGCTTCTCCTCCTCCTCCTCCGCCGCCGTCACGCCCCACTGGCCCTGGGAACCAGAAGTACCAAAGTCAGTGACGGCGCTGGGGACAGGACAGGGATGGGGCTGGGTAGGGGCGTCCAGCCCTGCCCTGGGCTCTTCTCCGATACTGCTCTGCCGCCCAGCCGCTCTCCAGGGCCTGCAGGCAGCCCCTGCATGTCCCGGTGGTGGCAGTGGCCAGGTGGCTGCTCAGGCAGCTCATTCCCAGCGAAGCGTCCGAGCTCTCAGGACGAGGCTGAGGGAGCGGCTTGTGTGTCCACCCCACACACGTTTCCATGACGGCATGCACAGTGGCACGCTGGCCAAGTGGGCACGCCCGTCTCCTAGGCACTGTAGACGCTCCCCTCTTCATGAGCGCGTTCCCAGAAGGGGCTGACCCACGTGGAGCACCACTGAGCGTTCCTGCCCACCAGCTCCGAGCCTCAGCACTCGGGAAAGTACCTCGCCCACCCACCTGCTGGCTAGCACTCGCCCCAGCTCCCACGCTGCTGCTTTCTGAGTGCTGGGTCGGTCTCACGCTGTCTCCGGAGCAGTGTGCACCCTCCTCTCCTAGGACCTGCACCAGGCCTGGAGCCCCAGGGCCACCGCCAGCGCCAGGCGGGACAGCTCAGCAGCACGCCCGGTGCCACGAGGCGGCAGCTCTGCGGTGCCCGGCCCTCACCCTGGGCAGACTCTCTTCCGGGGTAGTCTGGAAATCACGCCAAGGCCTGACTTTCTTTTCAGACGCCGACCGCACGGCACAGGGCACACGGTGGGTCCTTCCCTCGCCCTGCTCATCGCTGCTCCTGCTCAGGTCTCGTCATATAGCTGGCCAGCTCTGGGCTCAGAGAGCTCCTGGCCACCCCAGGAGGTACCGACGCTGCCTTCCGCGTTCCTCAGGGTGTTTCGTTGCTGCTCTCCAGACCCGGGCCAGCCGCGCGGTCTGCAGACTCTGGCACCCCCTGTTTATCCAGGCGGCCTGGAGGCACAATCCTCACCACATGGTCCTCGTGCACCCCGGCCTCTCAGGGCCCAAGAGAAACTGGATTCACGCTGGAGGCCGACTGTTCTGGCCCATTCCTGCGAGCGGCTCCTAGCTGCTGTCTGCGGATCAACTCGGACGCCGTGTTCCGTGTCATTGTCTCGTTGCGGTGAACAACACCTCCCTCACCGCGGCAGCCCCGCCCTGTCATCTTCACGCCCCTCTGCCCCGGGGGAGCCCGTCCTGCTCCGTGCGCTGGGTCTGTCCGCTCTGCTCACGCTCCATGTCACTGTCTGAGCGTCCCCGGGGAGCCAGCACGGCTCCTGTCACGGAGCACTGACCTGAGGAACCCACCAGGCACCACTGCCATCCACGTCCCGCACCATGCTCTGCAGTTTCCTGGAGAGCTGGCCTGAGAGTGCCCAAGAGCCCGAGATGGCGTCTCGTCCCGGTGGGGCCCTTCTGCACTGGGACTCAGAGACGGGCTCTCAGCAGCTCTCAGAAAGACCAACAGTCACACGAGGGCAGTGGTGACTGCCACCCCCGTCTCACCCTGCACCTTCGCCACACCCACACGCACTCGCCCTGCACCCCTGGCAGCAACTACAGGCGTCTGGCTGAGATGGGGCCCGATGCTCACACCACACCCTCTGCCCCTCACTTCCGTCTTCATTTCCTTAAATTAATGCAAGACACATCCATGTCGGCACCACCCGGGCAGAGGGCGGCGTGCCAGCAGCTCGGGGGACAGCTCGGGGCTTCCCTCCCTGAGCACCAGCGGCTGTAAGCCGCACACGGCACCCGGCTCCAGCACGGTCTGGACGGCCTCGGTGGCTGCGCCAGCCTCACTTCCCGGAGGAAGTGACAGTCCCCTCTGCACACCACCAGCGTCTGCCGTCCTGTGTGGTGTGTAGGCACCACGGCTTCTGTAACCGAGATGGCCCACCAGCGGCGAGGGCACCTGTGTATCCGCTCACGGTACCTGTCCACGGGTTCTCTGCGGCAGGAGCTCTCCGACACCAAGTCAGCGGTCACCTCTGCTCGCAGAACGTCCCTGAGTCCCTCTGAGGGACAGGCACTCCTGGGGCGGCCAGGGCTTCTAGCCTCCTCTCCCGTGAGGGCTTTTCCTACCCAACCTATGAAATCCGCTCGCCCTCAGCGGCGAAGACATCCTTCACGCCGCCCGAGGAAAGCTCCCTCCTCCCCTGCTGCTCTGCTTGAGCCTGCCAACTTCCCCCAGGAGAACAAGGGGTTAAAATCCAGGTTGCACGCAACCTGCAGGTCCACCCTCCAGTCCACTACGGACACCCTCAGCCTGCTCGGGGCAGGGCTGCTTGGTCTCTTGGAGGCCTGTGAGCTCCTGGGCCACGCGGCTGTCCTGGCCCACGCAGCTCCACGAGAGCAAGCTACCTCTCTCCCTCTCCCCTCCCTCTCTCCCTCCCTCTCCTCTGTCTCCCCTCTCCCCCCTCCTCTCTCTCCCTCTCCCCCCCTCCTCTGTCTCCCCTCTCCCCTCCCCTCTCTCCCTCCCTCTTCTCTCTCCCTCCCTCTTCTCTGTCTCCCCTCTCCCCCCTCCTCTCTCTCCCTCTCTCCCCTCTCCCCACTCCTCTCTCTCCCTCTCTCCCTCCCTCTCCTCTGTCTCCCCTCTCCCCCCTCCTCTCTCCCAACGGCGGTCTCTGAGCACCCCAAGATGCACATGTAAAGTGCACACTGCAGCAAACACGAGGCCCTGTGAGCGGCCGGCTCAGCCCCCACTTCCAGGCCACGGGGACACATCAGTCAGGGGGGACCAGAGATGCCCGTAAGTGCGGACATTTGGCTCATGCACATGCACACGTGCACACACGCGCACACACGCAGATGAGTCGTGCATGTGAGCAGCCCCACGCGTACAGCAATTTCAGCGGCAAATTTTCTGTTGCCGTGGAGCTTCCCGGGGCAGCTCACCGGGGCCCCGGCGTCCGTCCTGGGGCAGCTCACCAGGGCCCCGGCGTCCGTCCTGGGGCAGCTCACCGGCCCGGCCAGAACCGTACCTCCACTTCCCGCCGCTTCTTTCTCTCTTCAAACTGCAGCCGTCTCTGCAACTCCTCTAGAGCAGCTCTGTAAATCGTGTCCTGAGCATTCTGAAGTTCGATGATTTGATCAAACACAGCTCTAAGCTGGTTCAAAAGTGCCTGGAAGGGACAGGCAAGTTTCATGGAGAGAGTTTCAGCATGCTACTAAGTTTTAAAACAAAACACAGGAAATTCATTAGAGACTCCAAGAAACCAGCCCTCAGCAAGAAGCCCCACGCTCCTTCTGGACACCTGGCGAGGCTGCTGCCGGGCCGCTGGAGGCCCAGGCCAGCTCTGCGCTTGGGCCACATGGACAGGTGCCTGGCGCTGCCTGACGGCCCGCTCCAGGCATGCTGGTCCACTCCACGGCCGCCTTGCCACAGTGGAGCTCTGCCTCAGTTCCAAAGCTGGGGGCAGCAGCGCAGCCGGGAGCCATTCCCAGGAGCAGGAGGGCATGGCAAGACACGCTAGGTTTACTGTTTTCAGGGTGTTGTTTTTTAAATACCAAAACCCGATAGGAAGACAGAGAAAACTTTTAATGAAGTATAACCAAGTTCAGCAAAGATTTTGCAAAATTGGTTACTTACTTTATACCAGAAATAAAAGAATGATTTAACCCTGAAGAAGAAACTGTTCTGAAAACGCCAGTGTCACGGCACGTCTCTAGCTGGCTCAGCAACTGCCGCACCGGCCCGGCCCGCTCACGGGGTCTCAAGGCCCGCGGGCAACGTATAGCAACACAGAACCACGTGTGGATTTCCGTTTTCTTGCATTTCAATAAACTCGCACTTTAATTCCGTATTTTTCAAACTTTTGAAGCCTACCCACATATCACAGTTTTGTGAACTGTTTTCTGAGCATGGTGTGGAAAGGAGGAGTCGTATAGCACCACATCACCAAGCCGTTCTCGTAAACCAAAATCTATACACATGGACCAGTGGTTGGTGTAACGGCTATGTTGCTGGACTCCCATGTAGTCGACTGCGGTTCGAGTCCTGGACCCAGTGGCTTAAACTCACGCCGGGTATGTGTGTGTGCGTGCCCAGGATCCCGAGAGGAGAATGGAGGAGAAGGGATTGCAGCGTGGCCATCCCCCATGGGGGGTGATTTCTAGCTTTCTGTCTTTCTGTCTCTATCTGTCTCTCTGGCAAGCACAAGCACCCTGTAGCAAAAACCTCTCAAAAAAAAAAAAAATCTATACACACAAAACACCCGCCGCCCTCCCTCCCCAAGGCCACAGAGCAAACACACTGGAACTGCTGCAGGGGAAGGGGGTTAAAAGGCAAAGAGGTTTTCATAACTGAGGACAGCGACCGTGGTGTGACTAAGGGAAGGGTCAGCCCCACTCTCTGCCACCTTTAAGAGAAAAAAGTCTTTAATTAATTAGGGGGAGGGACTTCAATGGCACAGAAAAAAATCACGGTAAAATCTCAGAGCCACTCGGAATTCCCATTAGGCACTTAGGTAGCCAGGACAGGTGTGGCAGCCCACCCAACAGGCCGAGGCCAGGCCCAGGGCCTCCCTTCACAGCTGGGAAGACAAGGGCTCCCCACTCGGCCCAGAGAGCACGCGAGCAAGAAAGGCGGAAGAGCACGCCGAGGATGGCTCGGAGGGGTGGGGCGGCCGGGCAAGTGCGGGATGGCGGCGGGGGCTGCGGAGACCCCAGAGGGCGGCCGGGCAAGTGTGGGACACGGGGGTGGATCCTGGGCACGCACGCACATGTGCCCAGTTTGAGTTTAAGCCACTGGGTCCAAGACTCGAACCACAGTCAACTACATGGGAGTCCAGTGACGTAGCCATTATGCCATCTGCTGGTCCCTTCAAAAATTCTTTAATAGATATGCTTGGCTTTTATTTTAATATACTATTTGTATTAGAAAATGGAAGTTATTCTGACTCTGATAAGCTTACTATAGAAGCCCACTGGTATGAACATGCTGACCTCCACCATAGTTGCTGTCTTGTAAACTTGTTGACAGTATCTAGGATTAGAAAAGGTACTCTCAGGGCCAGCCAGGTGGCATGGAGGTTAAGGTGCTGGACACCACATGGCCAATGGAGTGGTTTGGGTCCCAGACCAGTGGCTTAAAAACCCGCCAAGCACATATGTGTGCATGCAGAAAATCCCAAGAGGGGAAGAGAGAAGGGTTGCAGTGTTGCCTATCCCCTGGGGAGTGATTTATCACTTTTCCTCTCTCTGTTTCTCTCTGGAAACTTTTAATGAAGTATAACCAAGTTCAGCAAAGATTTTGCAAAATTGGTTACTTACTTTATACCAGAAATAAAAGAATGATTTAACCCTGAAGAAGAAACTGTTCTGAAAACGCCAGTGTCACGGCACGTCTCTAGCTGGCTCAGCAACTGCCGCACCGGCCCGGCCCGCTCACGGGGGCTCAAGGCCCGCGGGCAACGTATAGCAAACCCG